GACAGACAGACAGACAGACAGACAGACAGACAGACAGACAGACAGACAGACAGACGGACAGACAGACAGAGTAAAGTAAAAAACCGGTGGAATCGTAACTCAAACACACAGATACAAAGAAAGATAATTCATTATTTGAGTAGGCAAACCTATGATGACAAAATTCTGCCTTAAAGAACGCAAGCAACTATTTAAGGAATATTATAAGCAAGTTTAGCCTTAGGGTATACTTTAGTTGAACATGAATTGCTTGCCAAGTTTGTTATAAAAATGTTATTTAGTTCCACTTTCCGGACAGCTTAATATTGTTCAAATGTTCTTGTCATGTGCACAGGGCTAAAAACTTATTATTTTGTGCTGAAAGATTTAATGCCCCCCCCCCCCCCAAACAAAGCCCCAAAAACAAAACAAATAAACTTAATAATTATGGCCCTTTCCTTACCTCTTTCAAGATATCCAAATTCGTTGTTTGGTTTTTTTTCAGAAATAATTTTCTATGTGATTTGTGTGATTTTCCTTACTCTAACAGTAAAAGTGTTTAATTATTATTTTAACAACATCGAGTCACGTTAACTCATTATAAAAAAAGTAAATTAGGAATCCTTTTAGAATATCAAAATTTAAATTTTAAACAGCTGAAAAATCGGGGGATTTTGATTTATAATGAACCTCTAATTATCTGTGAGATAAAGTTGATGGGTGTTTTTATTTATTTATTTTTGTACTGCTTTTTTCCGGAAAAAAATTCCATTGGGATTAACAAGAAGGGAAAAAATACTAAATCTAGAAATACTCTACTCTGTTAAAATGTTCATTTCCCTTGGGCATCAATCTACATGTACTTTGTCTATTAGTAGTACACATTTTAATGCTATATTACTGTAAATCTATTGCACCGTTGAAAAGTTGTTAAATTACAATACAGCCTTTCATGATAAGCTTTTCAAACAAATATTGCTCCATTTAATGTTGCGCTTCTAACAGAAAAAGATCCACTTTAAATCGGCACCGCTGATCAAAATCAAACAAACGAACAAATAAACAAACAAAAAAAAAACCCAAACCCCCCCCCCCCTCAAAAAAACGGGAAAGCACCCACTCACTGGGACGATATTTTGTAAAATACGTACAAATGTATAACGACACAGACAGAAGAACATCAAGACAATATTGGCCGCTGGTTTCAAAGCAAGTCGTTCGTCCATGACATCTTGAAATTTCGGCGTGGCATAACAAAATGAACTGACAACCGCTGATCCAAAAGCCGCAGCTGGTTTGTTTGTTTCAACCTCGTTCCAGTCGAAATAGAGGCTAAAGCGGATTCTAAAGTTTGCATTAGAGATATATATATATTTGGTATTTTTACTCCGATTTTGTTGGTAAGTTGTTTTTGTTAAATATACATATATTTTTACAACTATCTATTTATTAGGGGTGAGTGGGAGTGGTGGTTTATGGGTTGTTGTTTTTTTTTCATGTGTTAGTTTATATACTCCCCCCCCCCTCCTTACACACACATACGGTTTTTCTCTATCTTTTTGTGCTACTGTTTGTTTTGGTTTGTTGTGTGCGTGGAGGTATTTATTTCTATGAAAATTATTTCGTAAAGAAGATGATAGATGGACGTATAATGTCCCTTTTCTCATCTATCTATCTACCTCGGCCTTTATCTGCGTAGATGAGTTTACAGTGCAGTATTTATTCACAAAATACAGCAAGCCCTAACACAGCTCAGCGCAGTAAGACGACATGGCGTTCCCTCTGTTGATGCAGGACCCACGGACAAACAAGGGACACGCAAATGAAGTGCTTCCAGATTTGCATCCCTTTGAAGTGAATGAAATTTCCAACGGATTCCACATGGTACAGTTGGAGTTAATCAGGGGTCATCGAATTTTTCTTTTCAAATGAGCCAGATAACTGAGAGGATGCCGAGTGGGGCCCGGATAACTATTTTAGTGCAATATTGAATACGGTACATGAGGGTGCGGTGGTGGAGCGGTTAGTGCTCTCGTCTCCGAAGCTGAAGTTCAGAGTTCGAGCCCCGTTTTGGACACGGATTTTTTTCTCCTCCTCCTGCCCACCCAGCAGTAAAGGGTACCTTACTTCGAGTTGGGAAAGTAAAGGCAGCGTGGAAAGGAACTGGCCACCCTACCACAATATGCCAAAGGCCAGGAAGTTGTCTCACTAACAAGGCAATCGCCAAATTCCTGATCGGATGCGGGTACAACTTTACTTTACACAGAAAATAAATACAGATAGCGTATTGATCTATCAAAACACAAAATATAAAATAAAGTGAGATAAAATAAGATAAAAATTGAATAAAATAAAGACAGCAATCATCATATTCATTGACTGCCCAAAAAATTAAGAAATTATTAAGTAATGTTGTAATAAGAGTTACAAATTGTATATAACACCTATAATTGAATCTCACAAACCGAGCAGCAAAAGAAATAATGATTTTTAATTTTAGAAAAATAGACTAATGAGAATTGTGAAATTGGCGTTCAGCTTCCAAGATACCATCAATGATCAAACTAATTTTCTTTGTGCATCCAATCATGAGAACTGATTTAAATTATTCACCAATCAGGCTCGTTCAATGTATCAACTTCATAATTTACTTTTTTCCGCTGCATGGTGGTGGGCCAGGCTAACTGACTCCTGTTGAAAGTGATAACATGTAGATTTCTCTCCCGTTTCTATTTCATTCTTATCTCCACTATTTTCCTTCTTGCACATTGCATTCTTTTACTCTTTCCTCTTTTCACTGTCTGTCTGTCTGTCTGTCTGTCTGTCTGTCTGTCTGTCTGTCTGTCTGTCTGTCTCGTTCACACACACACACACACACACACACACACAAATACACATACACACACTCACATACACATACACAAACACACACATGTATACACGTGAAGCACACAAGCACTCGCAAAAATAACTTTAAAAAATCTTCACGTTTAATGATTCCGACTTGGTAGGCCTATTGCACAAAAGCCAGGCCTTGGTAAAACAAACTTCCAATCTATGCAGTCAATCCGCTTAAATGCCTAAAACTCAAATCATGCTAACTGGGAAGTGAAGTCCAAGCAAACAGGAAATAGCACTGAATTATATTGATAAACTGATTTTTTTTTTAAACCCAAAAAACTCTTTTACTACACACGCAGAACTAAAACCTCAAACTTCAGGGTCAAGGCAAATCGAAATTCCAGACAATTAAAAACATTACAAGTACCATGTAATCCTGTCGAATCGTAACAGCCAGTCAGTAACCCCCCCCCCCCCCCCCCCCGCTTTAATGCTGCCCATGTCATATTTAAGTGCTTTGATAGTAATAATAGATGTGTTTTAACCCCCCCCCCCTCCCAAATCGACTCAATTTAGAACATTTGAGAGGTGTACTATTTGGCAAATGTCTGTCTGTTACCGCTATATCAAACGTTAATTATTTTACTCTTGTGTCCATTATTGATGTGCTTATTACTATTTTATTTTCCTCCATTTTGTGTTGAAGTATAAATTGTCTGCTTATGTATTAAGAATATACTAAAGAATGTATACACGTTCATTTGCATGTAATTTGTGTAAAGATTAAGGTATTGTAAAGCGCCTTGGACTACATATTATTTTACCAGAGTGGGCGCGATAGAAAGTAGTAGTAGTAGTAAGAATTTCAAAGTGTATTTACTTCATTTCTTTTATCGATAATAATCACTAATGAACCATTCCTGAGACATCATTATGTGTCAAATTATCCTCAGTGCGAAAGCTTCAACACCCGCCGGAACCACAGAATCGCCTGCTCGGTAGAACGGCTGTGGTCTGCCAGTAGATTCGTGGCCAGACCCTCGGTGGTTTACCATGATGGGCGGGGCTACAATCACGTGGTGGGTGTCTTTGGTCCCCCCCCCCCCTCAACCACTTTGATATATTGTGTACAGTAGAAACTGTCTAAGTAAGACTGCCACCCATTGTCGATGAGAGTGATTGTCTTAGACAGGTGGACGTCTTACGTAGGTGGTTGGCGGGAGCTCTGATGTGGTTTGCTCCTTCTTTCCTATCAAACATCTGTCGTCCTTATCTCCCCTCCTACTTTTTTGTGTATGTGAGTCTTTTTTTTTTTTGAAGTCACATTTTAGATTCTCATTTTTTCGAAAAATAATTTTTTATGAAAAGTTTCGAAATAATATTGATGAAATGAATCAACCATCTATAGACATAAATGTGAAATTTCTGAGCTTAATTCCGTCAAATTAGAGCGTCAGGGCAACTTTTGCACTAGCGTCCTAGTAAAAAGTTCTCTCCTGTTACCAACAGAAGTCATAGAGCTGTGTTACTGGAATAGGTTTTGTGGGGGTTAATGCACTATTTGTTGGTGAAACTAGGTCTATTCATCAGGAAAATATTTTTTTTTAAAGCACTTCTGTTTTACAATCCACGCAAAATCATTTCGGATTTAAGTGCCAAATTTAAAAATCAGTGAAAATTTTAGAGTTTCAGTTGGTGATTCTCACTCTAAGCTCAAACACATTGTGATCATATGAATTTCTATTCCTTTTAGCAGTAAGATGAAGCTAATCCCACACTTACTTTTTAAAACAAAGTTCAAGATTTCTTTAATGAACGTAAAGAGGGGCGGTAACAGGGGGGAAACGTGGGTAACAGAAGAGAAAGTGGGTAACAGGAGGGAACATAAAAGACTGTTATCAGGTTTTTACAACAAAACCCATCAAGAATGAAACACTTATATTAATGATATCATCTAAAATAATAACCGAAGCATGGATGCAAATGTTGAAGGCATGTAACATATTCTGTCGAGACGGTATTTACTGGGTGTAGTTACCAACATAAAAGAACGAAGGCATCAAACAATAAGTGGGCGTAGAAATGAAATATATCGAGAGGATGTTTTGGGCGCGTAATGAGAATAGGGCTACAACTGCCAGGCTCAAAGGTCTACAAGATTCGATTCGATGGCCTGGGAGCAAAAGGAAGGCTAATAAAAAGGTGGATCGATGGAGTCAAAGACATCCTTCAAAGGCACACTATGCCGATCCGAAAAGCAACACACCTGGCCCATGTCCGAGAACTGAATCTCTCCTGGACCCCACGCGGTATAAGAGATCATATAAAATAAGAGTAAAGTGTAGTGAAGACAGCAGATTTGTCAAAGCCCCAACGTGTGGGCTTTGTATTTCCTCTTCCATTTTACTCAAACAATTTTGAGCGACGTAAACATGTACTCTTGCTTCATTGGCTTGAAGGTAGCTCCATGTCTTTCCTTAAGCTGATGGTCAATATTAGAATCGTATAACTTGTACTGTCGAAACGTTTTCTGGAATAAACCCCACAATGGCATCAGCCTCCCAGTCTCTGTTCTCTTCATAAGGATTCTTATTTTCTTCTGTTCACCGTTCGGGATTTCTATTTTCTTTCATTACTACCCATTTCTGCCACGTTGCAGTGAGTCTCATGTCTTCAGAGTGTGCTAGGATTGGATCCTTTTACTTTGCTTCATCCTTCTAGATGTTGGGAGAGGGGGGGTACAATTTTTAATCAAGGGCAGTGTAGGTGGCTTCTGTTGTTGAAATGCTATTCTTTCGGAGGACCTCTATCCTCTATAACGCTATCTTGCCACGTTTTGCGTGGTCTGCTCCTGCCCTTGTATCCGGACATAGAATTGTAAGCTTGTGAAGCTGGGTGATTTGGTGACACTCATCAGATGACCAAACCACTTCATTCTTTGATGTTCTTGTTCCATAACCGGTTTATTCCCTGTCAAATTTAATTTATCAGTCTTTCGTCTTCCTGTTTTATATCGTAAGTCTGTGTTGGAAGGAATATGCTGTGAATAAGTCGTTGTCTTTTTACTTCCATAGGTAGGTGTTTATGGGTGAGTAGTGCTGACTATTTATAGGTTTCTGCATTTGCTTTTGGGTCCTGATTTCAATTTTCCTATGTCCAATCTTTCGTCATGTGTAAGCATGCTCCGAAGCTATTTAAATTCCTCAACTTGTTTAAGTTGTGTCCCGTCGATGGTGATGTTTAGTCGTGGGATTGAGTCTCTGTGATCACACGATCCGTGTATGCATGTTTTGGCCAAACTTGAGCAGGAATAACCTTCAGATGAACACGATGCATAAACAATGCGTCAGCTGTCAACTCTGTGTTATCACAAATCTTGCACGCACAAGTGTTTTGATCTGATTATTAAATAGCTTCCGTTGCCAACAGCTTGTTAAACAAATGTTTGAACTGCTCTGGTACTGTCTGTACATATGTTCTACGAAGTCATTAAACAAACGTTTTTGGGTTTTTAAAAATCTCTTTCAAGGTAACAATATTTTTAAACCTTTCAAAATTCTCGAGTTGTCAGGTCGATGGGAAAAAACCCTAAATGTGCACTTTATCCATCTGCAGAGCTGAAAGCACTTTTTTTTCTCTTCTGTTTCCTTTTGTTCTTTATGTTGAGAGTTCGACAAAATTAAAAATTGCTCTGGATTTTGTACTTTCTTAATATTTCTCCAGAAGCCAACATTCGAATAGTTTTGTTTTCTTTTATCAGTCTTTCAATTCATTCAGGAGAGCAAAAGGAAATTCCAGTATTCTTTTCACTGCCTTCTTGCTCTTAGATAAGGTTTTTATTTTCAACTTTAATTTTCTTGTTCTCTGCACTGTTTTCATTGCAAACCTACACTTTAGTCTAGAAAAAAAAAATAACACACTTGAGAATGGGGCATCTGCTGTTTTGTCATTGGCACAGTTTGATTTCCTCTTCAGATTTGTGTCTTTCTTTGTTTTTCTCCATTCCATGCATGCTGCCCAATGGTGTCTTGAAATCCTACAAACGACAGGTTTTCTTTTCCTTTGTTCTTTGTCTTTGATGCAGTTCTGCTTTTCATACTGCATGTCGTGCAGCGTCTTTACTGTTGTTTTGCCTCTCTCTGTCTCTCCTTTATTACTTTTTTTCCCAGCAGAAGTCAGCTTTGTCTCTGGTGATAAAAAGCAAATATTAATTTTTTTTAAAGTCCTGTTTGAGAAATCAACTATATATAGGGCATGCCTTTCATACAATCAATCTAGATCTAGCATAAGTGGCATTGTACTGAAGTCAACTAAGCTAAGCTGATTTCATGTGTGACAAATTTTCTGCGAAGAAGATTCTTATTTCTTACTTCAGTCTACACCTACGTCTCTGCGACAACGCGAAATGCACTTCTAAATCTGCAACTAAATAACAGATCTAGATCTAGACCTACATTTTAAGAACTCTTTCGTTAAATAATTAAATGGTACAGGTTTAACGCCCTTATAAGATTATTTTAGAGGTGGGACCTCCGAGTTTAACGGTTAACGTCCTCTCCGAAAGGACGGAGCCAAATGGGAAATTCGTGGGTTAAGTGTCTTTCTCAAGGACACAACGTTGTACCGAGCCGAGACTCGAACCCCAAAACCCGCAATATCACAATTACTTAGAACTCTTCGATACCATTTATCAAAATAGAAGGTTCTAGAATTTGGTGAAACAAAAGTAGGTTGCAGTATTATTGTCATCGATGTAGGAAACATGGAAGGTTTTGTCTTTCATTTTATTGTGTTGTTCCCTCGCTATTGCTCTCAATTCCATCCTGTTACAGAATCACATTAGTGAGCTCAATTTGACTTTTATAAAAATAATATTGCTTACAACAGCAGGCTGCCTCTTTTGACAAGCACGAACAAAGGATGTCAAACTTGATTCTGTTGGTATTAGGACACCGTTTTTTCTGAACATGATTAGAAATAATTGCTTGAACGATGAGGTCGCTTGTATCAGGGCCCAAATTTGGAGCAATTGTCGGAGTCAAATCGTTTAAAAGATACAGATCTGAAAAGTATGCACCCCGACCATGACCTTTATTGTTAATTGTTTTCTCTATAAAGCAAAACGCTCGGTACCAGGCAGACCCATGCAAGTTTATCCGCAATGTCTACCCATGGGTAAGTGATGCCATCAGGCAAATTTTGGATTAGTCAAGATGTTTTTTTGTAAATATTGTATTCGATTGCAGGAACACTAATACCCCCCTCCCCACCCTTTCCACCACACACGCGCGCGCAGGAGCGCACATACACATACACACACACACACACACACACACACACACACACACACACACACACACACACACACACACACACACACACACACACATCACAGACATATACGAAATCCTTGGCAGAACTGCTCAAATAGCAGCTGCTTGACAGTAACAATTGACAAAAAGACGCCTTTTTGTTGATGCTCAAGGTTGAGGGAAGGGTGAAGGTGGGGAAAAAGGGGTGGATGTGATTGTACAAATTTTGTTTTCTGTGCAAGAATTGTTTACAAGATAAACGATAATTAAAGTAGAGTCTTCTATCTTAAGCATAAGTCAGTGACATAAAAAAAAACCTCGGAAGTTTTTGGTGACACGGCGTTTAGGTGGGTTGCCGCTAGGGTGTATCTTTCAGCCGGACACGGTGTTCCTAGTTTAAAAAAGCAGAGCAGAGCAGACACCCTTGCCAAGAAGGGAGCATCACAAACACAACCACACAACCCAGTATCACAACAGACAGCCAAGAACATCATCAAA